TCTTGGTGTAAATACTCTCAGTATACATAAAGAAAAGGTACATTAAGAATCAAGAATCATAACGTACAGCACTTAATGATAGTCATAGGGTACAATCAACAATCAAATCATACTAGGAAACTGTCAAGTGGGAGGGGATGGGTGATAAGGAGTGGTGAGATTAACAGTAATAGTAGTGTACACTTTGTAAATAGTTGAACAGAGTTGAGGGAATTATTTGTTTAGCAGAGTGATGGCTTTCAGGAAAAAACTGTTCTTGTGTCTAGTTGTTCTGGTGTGTAGTGCTCTATAGCGTTGTTTTGAGGGAGGGAGTTGAAACAGTTTATGTCCGGGATGTGAGGGGTCTGTAAATATTTTCACAGCCCTCTTTTTGACTCGTGCAGTATACAGGTCCTCAATTGAACGCTGGTGGGTAGTAATTGTTTTTTGTGCAGTCCTAATTATCCTCTGAAGTCTGTGTCTGTCCTGTTGGGTTGCAGAACCAAACCAGACAGTTATAGAGATGCAGATGATAGACTCAGTAATTCCTCTGTAGAACTGTATCAGCAGCTCCTTGGGCAGTTTGAGCTTTCTGAGTTGGCGCAGAAAGAACATTCTTTGTTGTGCTTTTTTGATGATGTTTTTGATGTTCGGTGTCCATTTTAGGTCATGTGATATAATAGAACCTAGAAATTTGAAGGTCTCTATTGTTGATACTGTGTTGTCTAGTATTGTAAGAGGTGGTAGTATGGGAGGGTTTCTTCTAACGTCTACCACCATTTCTATGGTTTTGAGTTGGTATATAGGGAGAAGTGGGGATAGCACACAGCCTTGGGGGTTCCCTGTGCTGATTGTACAGGTATCGGATGTGATTCCACCTAGCTTCACCTGCTGCTTCCTGTCTGTTAGGAAGCTTATGATCCACTTACAAGTGTGTTCAGGTACTGCTGGTTGGTTTAATTTACTTAGAAGAGTGTCTGGAATGATGGTATTGAATGCTGAACTGAAGTCTACAAAGAGGACCCTTGCGTAGGTATTTGGAGATTCAAGGTGTTGTAGGATGTAATGCAGAGCCATGTTAACAGCATCATCTGTCGACCTATTTGCTTGGTATGCAAACTGCATGGGATCTAACAGCAGATCCGTGATGGTTTTCAGGTGGGACAGCACAAGCCTTTCAAAGATTTTCATAACTACAAATGTTAGAGCAACTGGTCTGTAGTCATTCAGTTCCTTGATGGAGGGCTTCTTTGGCACTGGGATGATGGTAGAACATTTGAAGCAGGAAGGGATATAGCACATCTCTAGTGATCTATTGAAGATTCTGGTGAAGATGGGGGCCAATTGGTCAGCACAGACTTTTAAGCAAGAAGGAGTTATCTTGTCTGGCCCTGGTGCTGTTCCTGGCTTCTGTCTGTGTAATAGGTCTTGTACTTCTTTTTCTGTGATTACCAGAGGCTGTGAGCCCAATGGATTGGGCCAGTTGTAGAAGGTTTGGCTGTTGTTGATGTGTTTGAGATGTGGGTTGTGGAGATAGATGGCTGTAGTTTCTTTTCAAACCTGCAGTAAAACACATTCAGGTCATCTGCTAGTTGTTGATTTCCTTCTGCCTGGGAAGGAGGTTTGCTGAAGCCAGTGATGTTTTTAAAAGTTTTCCACATGTTTGCTGGTTCATTTGTTGAGAATTGATTCTTTAATTTTTCAGAGTAGCTTCTTTTTGCTGCTCTGATCTCTCTTGTTAATATGTTTCTGGCCTGGTTGTATAGCATTCTGTCACCTTTTCTGTAGGCTTCCTCTTTGGAATGACGTAGCTGCTTAAGTTTAGCTGTGAACCAAGGTTTATTGTTACTATATATTTGCAGGTTCCTTGTTGATACACATAAGTCTTCGCAGAAGCTAACATATGATGTTACAGTATCTGTGAGCTCATCTAGGTCTGCAGAGGCATCTTCAAAAACATTCCAATCAATGCAATCAAGGCAGGCCTGGAGTTTCAGCTTTGCCTCATCCGACCAAATCTTCACTGATTTAATTGTTGGTTTAATGGTTTTAAGTCTTTGTCTGTAGGCAGGTACAAGGTGAATCATGCAGTGGTCAGAGTGTCCCACAGCTGCTTGTGGTTGTTAGATCGGTGGATCGGGTCACAGAAGAGGCGAGAGTCTAAGTGATCATTCAGCTCTTTATTGTGCTCAAGAATAAGGACAAGGGAAGGTGTGCAAGCCGCTCGGCTTTTATGCAGCCGGCCGGCGGCTCGGCGGCCAATGGCAGCGCTTTGAATCTCCCGCGATCGGCTTGGCCAATCGCGGTAGATTCTTAACGCTCCAATCACGGCCATTCAGTCAACCAATCAGGTTTTGGCCCGGGTGGGCCAATCAGGTTGCGGGTCCTCGAGAATGCTAATACAGAACACCCCTCCCCTCATGGTTTCGTCTGACGCAGCGTCGTGACGTAGTCGCGCAGGTAGGTGGGGCTCCGAGTTTGCCTGGCCGACCTGTGCGGTTCAGTCTGTGTGTGTTCGTCGGCCGGTTCGGACGGGCTCCGCGTCGCTCTCAATTCCCTTGATGGAACCGCCTGGAAAGGTGAGCCGGGCCTGACGCCGCAACTCCCGCCCGGATGCCCTGGGCTGGTCGAGTCGTGGTTCCTGTCGCTCCCGCTTGGGCTCTCCGGGCTGGTTGAGCTGGCTTGGCTGCACCTTCCAGGTGAAGATCCCGTCTGTGACAGTTCGAGGTCTGCAGGTGAGTATGGTTGGTTTGTTTGGTTATTCCTGTCTTCTGGTGGGTGGTGATCGGTTTGCGCTGGGGTGTGTGTCCTGGCTGGTTCCGGTCTTCCGTCGGTTGCCGGTTTGGTGGTTGAGGCTTCCCTTCCCCCTCTGCTTTCCTTGGTTGTCGTTGTTGCCGTGTCGTTGGGGGTGTTGGTGGCCAGTCTGGATCGCAGCTGGTCGATGTGTCGCTTCCAGCTCCTTCCGTCCGTTGTTTGCAGTCTATATGATCGGGGCCCGGTTACCTGCGTTATTTGTGCGGGTACCCAGAGGGGGTCTCCCGTGAAGTTTTTCGCATAGACCGTATCCCCGATGTTGAATGTCCGGTACCGGCTGGAGGAGTCTGGGGGTTTCTCCGGGTTGTACGTGGGGTGTAGACGGTCCAGCGGCGATCTTAGTTTCCTTCCCATCAGTAGCTCCGCTGGGCTCTTGTTT